TTCGGAGTAGTGCAACCATGGAGAACGGAATTGAAGTACTTCTGAAGGACTTCTAGTGCTGGTTTCCCACCCGCTTTCAGAACCTTCGCTGTAATTCAAACATTGACCGGGGCCTTTCCATTGTTAAGTTACTGGCGAGTCATTCTAATCTCGTTCAGTCTGTGTCATCGGAATAGTGTCAGATAATACTTGCTCTTTGATCGTTACTCACACTTGCATGTGACTCCAAAAAAGTGTACAACTGCTAGTAGAACCTACGAGTCTCACTCAAAATCTCTGGTGTCCTGGAAACGATGCCACATTCGGTATTAAACTTCAACTGTTGGCTCTTTTTAGCAGAGGGATCTCCGGCAAAGACTTTGGAGCCTTGGTTTCGCTCAATCGCTTCTTCTATACGAATATTAAAACACCTAACTTCTATTAAGCTTAGATCGTTATTTGCACGCATTTAAGGGATTGATAACCATTTTTAAAAATTTTGTCTGTCTGTCTGCCCGGACTTACTTTCGGAAGGGTTAAATCGACATAACGACTTTTAGTCCAGGATCCATCGCCCATTTTTGCACGTGATTACTATCAAGCCAATTTTCCGTGAGTAGCTTTATTTTGATGAGACGCCCAATAATTTCCTGTACGAAACTCTCGATTGTGGTAGCTGACAGAAGTAGCAAGGATAAAATATGTTGATTTGATGATTCTCAAATATTTATTACTAACTGAATTTTTTTTAATTAAATCTCAAGATAATTATCTAAATTATTCGAAAAAATATTTGTCCTACAAAATCTATGGTTTGATCAAAGAGTCCCCTCTATCCAATATGTATCGATAACGAGGTCATCGTAAATGATTACTAACCAGCTGATTTTTTTTTTGTTTTTACTTAGTTAATATTTATATAATTTAACATACATATTGTCCTACAAATTGCGTGGTACGTTATCCTGGTCCTACGCTCAGAAGTTGTTAATACCACAAGACCATTTTTTTCATTACTAACTGTAGGACAAAAATATTACATGATAGGTTAGTGTGTTCTCTGCCCAAATGAAACATCGTCCTACAAGAAAACAGGTGTGTATTATTAGTCCGACAAGAATTGTCATTTTTTCGTTTTTCTATCTGTAAAATAAGATAAAGTGAAAAAAGCTTTTTTTAAAATTTAAATAACTTTATGTTTTGATAAACTTGGCACAAAAATTTATGTATTATATATATATATAAAAAAAGAAGTTAATCTTCATCAGATCCATCTGATAAATCTTCGCTACTAACATTGCTGTCATCTTCTATTTCACTTTTCTCACTCGTTATATCTGACTCTGTAATAACATGAAAAAATTAAGTAAATTATAAAATACAAATAAATTATGTAACTAACAAATAAAAAAAATTAATTAACTAACCGTAAAGTGCATGGCAATGGGTCCGGTTCTACATTTTCAGCAGACGTTAAAGATATCGTGGAATCAATGATTCCAGTAGATTAAGACGCTGATGATGTTGAAGCTGGCTCAGTGCTGTGTATGAGAAATTATTAAAAAAAATTAAAAATTGTTTATTTCAGAAACTTGCAAATAAATACAGTATCTACATAAATATCACATAGCATCATCGATATTGAAAAAATTATTCCATATTAAATTAATATTTAGTCAAATAGTCATACAAAAATATAAATTTAAATGACAAAAAATTAAATAAGAAAATATGTAAAATATAATATACTATCAAAAATTATTGTTTAAAGAATTTAACAATAATACAATGCTACAATAGAATGTTACAATGCTAATGCTCGATTTTACATAATTACGTGAAAATATGAACTTAATAAATTATTTTACAATAATTTTAAAAATAAAGTAAATAAATATTCGATCGACTTACCTTTCATAAGACACCTTTTTCTCTTTTTCTTTTTTCTCTCGAAAAGTAGGGTTTTCACAAAACAAATTACACAAAAAACACTCCATAATTAATTTCCAGCACAAAAAAGATTTCTTGAAATAATTTCTCAAGACAAAATAAAACACGTGGCCGACTGAGAAAATGTTTGCAGGCTTATGGTCGACACTAACGTGGGATACCTAATACGGAGTAAGCAATGCTCTGCGCATGCGTACCGGCGTACCGGTGTGGCTCAGCTGTAGTAGCAAAATACAGAAACCCAAGCGACACAAATTTTTTTACTACCTCTGTTAGCTACCACAATTGAGAATTTTCGCATAGGAAATTGTTGGGCGACTCATCGAAACGAAGCTATTCACGAAGATTCAGCTTGATAGTAATTATTTTTACATCAAGGATCTGTACTACTACTTTTGAGCGTAGGACCGGAATAACGTACCACGCAATTTGTAGGGCAATATTTCTGTTAAATTATGTAAATATTAACTAAGTAAAAACAAAAAAATCAGCTGGTTAGTAATCATTTATGATGACCTCGTTATCGATACATATTGGATAGAGGGGACTCTTTGATCAAACCATAGATTTTGTAGGACAAATATTTTTTCGAATAATTTAGATAATTATCTTGAGATTTAACAAAAAAAATTCAGTTAGTAATAAATATTTGAGAATCATCAAATCAACATATTTTATCCTTGATACTTCTGTTAGCTACCACAATCGAGATATTCGTACAGGAAATTATTGGGCGTCTCATCAAAATAAAGCTATTCACGGAAAATTAGCTTGATAGTAATCACGTGCAAAAATGGGCGATGGATCCTGGACTATTTACAAACCGTTACAAAGCAGTGCCAGCAGTGTCTCTATTTTGTGCGCAATAATTTGACTTTTTTATAAACGAAAACTTGATAAAATAAATGACTTTGATTATCTTAAATCTAAATAATTTCTATCTTTCTTTAAACAATAAAAATTCTGTGCAGGAATAATTTTCACGACAGTTACGGATGAATTTATTAAATATTTCACTTATCATGGCCAACCTATCTGTTGTTTTTCTTTGTTCCTGTGTATTTTCAAACGTTATATTATAATGAAAGAATAAATTTAGACCCATTACGCAACGAAATATATCTCTGCCAGTGAAGTCCGTTGCCCATAGAGATCCTTATCCTAATCAGTACTAAGTAATGAAACACGCGCGCTCACATACACACACACTCACACACACACACACACACACACACACACACACACACGCGCTCGAACAAGCGCGCACACACGCGCACACACTGACACACGCTCACACACACGCTTAAAACCACGCTCGCACACACGCACGCACACTAGCATGCACACACACACACACACACACACACACACACACACACTTATTCACGCATCATCATCATCATTACAGCCTTTCACAAGTCCACTGCTGAACATAGGCCTCCCCCAAGTAAAGCCACAAAGTGCGGTCCTGAGCCACCTGCATCCATCGACTTCCTGCATGTCTGACCAGGTCGTCCCTCCATCTAGTGGGCGGTCGCCCTACACTACCCCTACCGGTACGACGCTGCCACTCGAGAAATTTTCTTACCCATCGGTTATCGGTTCTTCCAGCTATATGGCCGGCACATTGCCACTTCAGCTTACTAATCCGTTGGGCTTTGTCGGTCACTCTGGTTTTACTGCGGATATCCTCATTTCTGAGTCTATCACGCAGAGAAACTCAGAGCATAGCCTTTTATAGTGTGAGCGCGGTCCTCATACGGCCAGCAGTGAAACACCACGTCTCAGATCCGTAAGTCATCACTGGCAAAACGCACTGGTTGTACAATCTAGTTTTCAGAGTTTGAGGTATACCTGATGAGAAAAGTGTCGCAATTTCCCGAACGCTGCCAGCCGAGTTGAATCCGTCGATTGACTTGCTCGCACTCTCGCTTGCACATTTTTACGAAAACACGCACGTTCACACGCACTCACACACGCATGCACTCACGCACATACTCACGCACGCACTCACGTACGCACTAACGCACGCATGCACTAACGCACGCACACACATACGTAGGCACGTACTCTCGCACACACACACACACACACACACACACACACACACACACACACACACGTGCAAACTCGCCGACACGCATACACACATACACACTTGTCGCACGCACTCACACTTGTCACTAAGTAAGGATTTTTGAAAACTCAAACCCTACGTTGATGATATATGGTGCCACGTTTTGTATGAAAGTTTTTATTTTACGTGGGGATTGACTCAAAACTTACTAAAAAGATTCTTTAGAAAGAGAGAGAGAGAGAGAGAGAGGGAGAGAGAGATTGAAAGTAACCTCTTTAATTTTTTTAAATTTGGGCAAATAATCTTGATTATATAGATATAGTAGAATCGAGTAGATGTAGTAAAATCGGGTGTAACAATTTGTAAGTATGTAACTTTTTATTTAATTGGGTGACTTGGCAGGCTTAGAAACTAGTACTGAAACTAATCTGTTAATGAAATAAACGAATACGTATTATTCGGTTTTTTTCAAATGCATTATTAATACTTATGCAGTTAAATATGTACGTTACCTTGGGCATTTAGTGTAAATTAAAGTTATTCCTTACATTATACCATTTAAATGAATAATGTATATAAAATGCATATTTAGTATAATTAATATAATATTTATTTTATCACAGATTAAAATCACGCGCAACAAAAAAAAATCACTCACATCGAAATGATTGGTCGAGTTATCACTTAATCATATTTTAAAAAATCTTTAATTATATCATAATTAAAAAAAATCTTAATCTAAAATATAGCTTAAATTCCTTCTGCAATTACTACCTATCTGTTCGTAAAGTTTCATCACAATCGGTTCAGTCTCTCACGAAAAGATAGACAGACATATTTAAAAAAGATCACTATGTCTTAGTAACATGCTCCATAGAAGACAATTAGTTCAATATTACAGACAGAGATTCAATTCGTTTATAGATATATAGATAAACAATTAGGCTCAGAGTAATAAAACTTCAAAACAAAGCTATAATAAAAAAAATCTTACGTTTACTATTAGCGCAACACCATAGTCAAGAAGGGATTGAAATACTTCTCGAGCGCTTTTTGGAGACTTAAAAAAATCGTTGGCAGAAACTTTGACCACTTTTTCAGCAATTTCTTCTCCATGCCACAATTTTGGGATGTGTCTTCTTTTCTCCACCCACGTCTTGTAATCAAATTTTACTAAGAAATCCGCTTTGTAAATCGATTCGTGGTTGTCATCCCCTAAAATGTATTGTTTGAGTATATTATAATCGATATTTTTCAAATTCTTTTTAACCATCCCACCATTTCACCATTTAAACAGATTCATTTTCACCATCTAGACCAATAAAAATGAATTGGCAACTATTTATTTTATATATTTGAAAATTTGTATGATGTTTGTTTTTAATATAATAAAAACAAAACTATGTACTCTAATGGTTTGGGCACGTTGAGCGAATGAGTGAAGACCGAGTGGTGAAGAAAATATATAGAGCGAAAGTAAATATTAAAAGGTGTCGAGGTAGACCGAGACTAACTTTCGAAGACCATGTGAGCAAATTGCTCGAAGAGGGGAAGGTCAAGAGTACTCGGATACCTAGACGTGCATGTATGAAGAAGTTAATGAACCTGAAAGAAGCGAAAGAGGTATGTAAGGATCGTGACACTTGGCGATCTGTTCTCTCTGGCTACCCCGTTAGGGATTGTGCGTGAAGATAAGTAAGTAAGTAAAAACAAAACTGTATGAAGCCTATTTATCAATTTTAGATAAAAATGATGTAGCTCCATTAAGGGTGTGTGCAGGTCGATTGAAGGGCAGCTTTATCATGGCTGCGATGGTGAAATGTAATAAGTGCAATATAGCGATAGATGAACTGTTAGCATGCTTTCAGAATAAAATATCAGTAATTGATGAAAAGAGTTTAGTAAGCGTATCGTCTTTTAAAGGCGATGAAACTAAGAGATCTAAATCGTTGATTTTTGATGGGCTACTCACGGATAGGCACAAAATCTCACGTATAAAACAAGGTAAAGAGACGCAATTCGAGAATATTTCTTGTATTTTTGTCCATATTAAATGACCTATCTTCGCCTTCTTAAGAGTATCTTAAAAGTAAATTTTATCATTCTCTTCATCTCATGATAGGACGTTTTTACAATTAAAGCTAACAAATTTAAATTTGTCAGCTTTAATTGTAAAAACGCAAAACGCTCCGTTGGCAATATAATAAGACAATTATCTAAATCTAGAAAAAACATGGCTGCAGCACGACGATATTTCGTTTCGCAGCACTATTGATACCGATTTTATGTACACGGGTACCTCAGTAATGAACATGACGGCAGGTATGCTCCGCGGACGGCAATATGGAGGAGTAGCGCTATTTTGGAACAGGGATGTCTTTCAAAATGTCTCGGTCGTGAAATGCGGTAATCCGTGAGTATGTGCGATAAAAGTTTCTATGTGCCAAATATCATACCTAGTGTTTAATGTCTACATGCCGACTGATAAACTGGATAACCTAACAGAATTTACGGACTATCTCAGTTTGGTTAGTGCTATTGTAAGTAGTGACAATATTCAATAAATTTATGTACTTGGTGACTTTAATGCTCATCCTGCTGAGTTATTTTGTAAGGAACTAACAGTAAATTTAAATACATGTAATGTATTTAAATGAACCTGTGCAGATGTTGGTATTTTAGGGATAGGTTCCGATACGTATACGTTCGTAAGAGAGGCTAATGGGTCAAGGCGGTGGCTTGACCACGGTGTTGTCACCGAATCTGCTATAGTTTCTAATATAAATATTTATGTACAATACAACGTTATGTGGTCTGATAATTATCCTTTAATTATGGAAATAAAATAAAATATAGTTAAGCCGAAAATTCAGAATATGAATAATTTATTAAGGAACAAAATTGTATGGGGTGAAAGGAATCATGGACAAGTTTATGTATATAATAAGGAGTATCATGAAAAATTACGACTTATAGATTTTCCTAATGATTTTAATGAATGCGCTAATTATATGTGTAATAATTTGGATCACTGATCAATTATTGATAAAATGTATAGTGATATAACATATACGCCTTAAGTCAAGCGGCCGCAGTTAGTTATGCTACAAGATAATTTAAAAAGAAAAAAAAAAACAGTTGTCTGGTGGAACAAGCATGTGAGTGAAGCTCACAGGGAGGCCAGGTGTAAATTTCAACTATGGGTGTGGTATGGAAAGCTTAAATCGGGTACTGTGTATGATGAGATGAATGAAAGCCGCAAAGTTTTTAAAATGGAGTCTATTATTACCTGACCTGAAGCATATCAGCCTGCCACTGAGATAGCGCTACTTTCTTCAGTAGCGCTTCCAGTCGTGGATAGTTTGGCGCCTATAATATGGTAGACTGTCAGTGCGGCGCCAAAAAGAATTGAGTCTGTCTCGCAAAGGTCCCGGCTAGCTTCAAATAGGTATACCAGCATTGGGTTTAGTTTCCTTACGACAGCCCGATTCCACTTGCTTAGGGTTATGCGGGGAAGTCGCGGTCGGTTTTCGAGCGGCGAACTGCGCATTTGCACAATCGCGTCTTCCAACGTACTCCTCATTTTCTCTGGTGTCAGTTCCTGGGGGACTGTTCCATCATCGTTTGAATCAACTAAAACTGGGGTATTCACGGCGGCATCCACGTTTGGCGGTTGCTTTGCAAGTTGTGGTGCCGCATCCTCAGCCGTAGCATTTTCATCCGATGAGGGAACAGCCTCACCTCGTTGACGTTCGAGTTCGGCGACATCAAATGTATTTGAGCGCAAGATATACCGAACACGGTCTGTCAGGTTTTGCTCGGTGATGATTACAGATGGCTCCAGCTCAGCAAAAATCGATGCATCCTTGCCCGATACGCAAAACTTATAATCTCTCACCCTTTCGCCATAAAATACACCCGCAATGCGTTACTGTTCATCTGGATTGTCCAACGCATACGGCGTACTCCACCAGTGGCTGCCGACACCAAGTCAGCTGGTGGGGATGTTGGATGCCAGGGGTTGCTGAGTGTTCATGCAGCACCTTGCACTCGGCTGGCGGTTTGCATGCTGTCGCGATCATCGTCAGCTCCAGACGCGCCCTGGCGATCTCTTTGTCGTGTCTTTCTGTTCTATCATCCATTGTTGTGAGCGTCTTTTAACGGGAGACGCCTAGATCTGGCGCCGTTTCATGGTGAGGCCATGTGCACAGGCGGGCCTATGCACCTTCAATTTTTGCTGCGGCACGGCACTAACACCTCTTGACAAGATGCTGACTGACTGCGCTGATGTAACGGTTTTGTCACATAACCGTTAGATCAGCGGGTGATGTGGTAGTCACTTCTCTACGCCAAATTTTTATTATGGGGTATTGATAGTGTATTCTCATCTGGTTGGGCTAAATAAATACATAAAAGGATATAATAAATATATATTTAATAAACTAAAATAAATAAAAGCCCAACCAGATGGAAGCCCTCGGCAGGGGAGACCAAACGGCCGAGGGTTAGGGGGAAAGGGAGAGAAACCGGCGGACGATGCCGGCGGTAGCGAGCAGCAACGCCTTCTGCATTTGAGTCCGGAGCGGTTCACGGAGTACCAGCCGCCTCAGGTGACCTGAGAGCCTGAATGGGATTAGCCCGTTTGCAGAAACGACTACCGGAATAATTTCGGTCGGCAGTCCACCCTACATGTCGGTCACCTCGTGAGCCAGGTCCAGATATTTTGTTTGCTTATCTGTTTCGGTTTTCAGGAGGTTCTCGCTATACGGAATGGTAATGTCGACCAAAAATATCCCTGACTATGCCCGGTCCATCAGCATAATATCAGGCTTATTCGCAAGAATAGTCCTGTCTGTTATGATGGCCCGATCACAGTAGAGTCTTGCACGATCATTTTCGAGCACGGCTTCCGGCAATTACTTTTAATACGGCACTTTCTGGTCCACGAGACCGTATTTCAGAGTGAGCTTCTGATGAAGAATTCTGGCAACCTGGTTGTACATGTGTAAGTAATCAGAGCTAGAAAGCGCCGAACAACCGGAGATGAAATGCCTAAGTTACTCACCGGGATGGCAACAAGCTCGACAGATGTTATTATTACCTTTGCGGACGTATGTCAAGGATGTATTCAGGTTGTCGTACTGAGATGATGAGTATAGAAAATAGCACTTTGAAATCCTAAATGATCACGTATGGTTAGTTTGCGTAACTATCTTGTTTTTATGCATGTCCAAAATCGTAAGGATATTATATTTATGACTTCCTTGAAAAGAGCGATATTAAATTCTTGAATTTATTAATACGCAGTTCCGAGCTTGCAAGCCATGCATACGAAGCTGGTATATAGTATACCGAATCGAATAACATCCGCATCGAGGTCGTGTGAGTGAAAAAAAGTACAAATTTTACGTATGTATTTAATAAATTATATTTCAGTACCTAGTTGACCATGCTGTGCGCGGCGTTAGAGAGAAAATATAATTTTCTGGAGATGGCACATATCTAGATAAACTCGAACAGAACATTATCTAAAAACAAAATGTCATAAAATAGAGGAGTTTTAAAAAGAAAAACCCATTACATAATTTTTGAAAATGTTCGCTTTAAGTATGTTCGTTGTTACAGGAATTCGTTGCTCACTATACTCGTGAGCTAGGAGTATTGTTATGGCCAATTTACATTATCTTAGTGCTTTAAAAGAGTAGGTACTTTAGTAGAACTATATTACGAGTGCTCGTAACGTAAATGAAAAGTAATTCTATTTGAATTTAGTAGAAAAGCAAAAATCATACGTAGTTAATCATCCTAAAACTATTAGTACTAATCATTAAAAACTACTGTATACACGTTTTTACTAATGTACACTACTAAATCACTCTCTTAATAACTATGATAATGTAAAGCGGCCATTAAAAATGAGAAAGGAAATTTGCTAAGACCTGCATGGAAATGTTAGTAGGTTGGTTAGTATCCATGTTTTAAGAAGTTACTTACACGTTATAGAAATATGTTCCGTATCGGATTTGATGTTTTTAATGTTCGAGTCGGACAAATCCAATAAGTGTCTAGCTCTTTGAAAAGTATTTGAATGGTAGCACGTCGAACATCTGAAATTATTATCATTGCATCCGAGTAATACATTATTTGGTAAAATATTTTATGTTTATATAAAAAATAAAAAAATTATGAAATAAATTATAAGTGTGAAACTGTCAACAAAATAAAAAATAAAAAATGAAGTGGATATTACATAGCCTTTATGTGGACGAAATATATTTACCACAAAGTGACTGAAACGAGAACATGCAAATTAGTAAGAAATTTACCTGCAATGATCTCTAAGCCAAATACACTCAAATTCTGTTACTTGTCCTCCTTTGAAATGTACCTTTACTGTTTGATTTTGTATTGTCGCACTTACAATTCCTAGAAATGTGTAAAAAACTTAAGTAAGCTTAAATCTCACTCCTATGCATATCATACTTTAAGCAATTTTAAAAATATTAATATTTGGACAACAGCTTACTACTCATTATTAATATAATTCGATATAACTGCTGTCACTTCGATAACAAGCCTCTATATATTTCTCGCACTAGCTATCGCACAATTATAAAGTTATATTTTAATATTAAGGGTCATGTGAGGTCTTATATCGCATACGCATACGCGCGCACACACACGCGTACACTTTTTGTAGGTTTTCCACATTAATCGTGCTAAATAGTTTATGTAATCTTATTCAGTCGACAGGCTCATGGCAGTAAAAGTACCCACTAAAATTATTTCAAAATTTTTCTTTACTTATATTTTCTATTGTTTGGGATTATATACTATTGTACAAGATATTTTTACAATAAATTGTACAATATTTGTAAAAGCTCACCCTTGTCAAAAATGATATCTGATTAAAGGTAGGTACGCTGTTGATATCAGTATTATTTGTCGCGAAATGGCAATTCTGTAGGAGACTTACCAAAAACCTATTTTCGATAGCAACAAAAATGATGACGTAGGAGTTCGTTGTTTCTTAGATTTCTATCTTGTTAGAGGCGTCCATGTTTGGGATGTTAAATCTACATATTTTTTACAACATATGATGTTATTTTGTCCATGAATTGTATCTTCAATTATGTGGACTTTAGATTTCTGTAAATTCAAAATCTAACATTTTTTGTTAACTACGCTGTGTACATATTTTATTAGATACGAATTAGGGACTTTCAAGAAAAGAGCCTACTCCTTTTTAAAAGCCCGGCAACGCATCTGCCATTCTCCTGGCGTTGCAGTTGTTCATGGGCGGCGGTAATCATTTACCTACAGGTGAGTCATTTGCTCCATCTTATAAAAAACCGACTTAAAAAAAGATATTTTTTATGTGTGTTACCTCGGAACTCTTCTGAGTGAATCGATTTTGATGACTCTTTTTTTATTGGAGAGCTAGTAGTTTTCGTGTGGTCCCATATGAATTTGATCAAGATCTGACAAGTAGTTTTTGAAATATCCTTAATGATGCGCATTTAATTAACTTGGATTACATTGATGATGTTCTCATTTTATTTATTTGAAGTTGGTTGTACAAAATTTATAATTTTGCAACTTGTTAGTATTCCGCTCTAAAAAGAAATAACAGCAGGATAGATAAAAATCTCTACTAAAGATTTCACAGCCGAACTGTTCTTTTGGGATATCTTAAATTTATTTCACGTCTAAAAACTACTGGAGCACGTAACTTGTAGGAAAAGGGCCAAATTACAAGTGCCGTCAGCTCTACAATTATTGAGACCGAGTTTTCTTTTGAAATGGAACAATTCTTTAACTAACAGAATGCCCTTTATCGTATGTTGAACAGCAACAACGTGTTTCTGATTTTTTTGATGTTATTCAATTGAGAAATATCAATGGAACAGAATGGAACAGCACAATTTGTATTTGACATCAAACTAAATAATACTTTATGAAATTAATTTTTATTCACCTTTTCAGAAGCAGAGATCGATCTGGATTATTTTGAAAAAAATGTTCAATCTCTGGAGCAGAGATTGAACATTTTTTTCAAAATAATGGATTACATTACACTTATTGAAAGTATTTTTAATTTACAATTGGTTCGGAAAAAAAGCTCTGTCCTTGGAAGAACCAGCAAAAAACTTAGCGGGACTTTTTTTTAAACATTTTTCCCTTTAAAATAAATTATTTCGTACAATTTTTGAATGAATTTCATAGAACCTGCATAATGGCGATCAATTCATTCCCAGCAGTATTTTCTTTTACGTATTCCTTGATATTATAATAACCCTTTTTGTACAATTTTTCTTTAATAAAAAATTTTAACTTGTTTAATGACAAATTTTGTACATTTTCTGCGATTTTGTTGTAAAAACGTATGTATTGCCCCATAACTGAATTACTCATTCTGTTGAGTCTAGTAACTGGTATTGCAAGCTTATGTTTGTTCCTAGTGTTTAAAGTATGAACATCTTTATTCTCATGAAAGTTATTTATGTTTTTACGTACAAACATTACATTTTCACAAATATATAGCAATGCCAAAGTTAATATGTTTATTTCTTTAAATTTTCTTCAAGGAACTCTACACAATTTAAGTTTTTGTTGCCTTTACTATTTTCTAAAAGGTCGGCAACGCATCTGCCATTCCTCTGGTGTTGCGGTTGTTCATGGGCGGCGGTACCGGTAGTCACTTACCATCAGGTGAGCTGCATGCTCGTTTTCCCCCTCTTCTATAAAAAAGTTATAAATTGCCCGTACGACTCTCTTTTGCAAAACAAATATGACTACAATGTCAGTTGCATTACCCTATAGGAAGATTCCATAAGACATTACGCTATGAAAGTAACTAAAATAAACTAATCTAGCTGTCTTAACATTAGCGAGACTTCTAATATTTCTTAGAGCATATGCTACAGAACTAAGTCTGTCTATCTAATTTAGATATATGCAGGCCCCATTGCAGCTTCGCGTCAATAGGAATACTAAGAAAAACAATAGTGTCCACTAAACTCAGCTCTTTCCCATTGAAGAGCACATTGGTATTTGAATGTTTAACATTAGGTATTGTAAATTAAATACATTTTATCTCATTGCCGTTTCAAAGCAAATAATTGGCGTTAAAACAAATTAATTTCGATCGAGCATTATATACATTGACAAAATTAGTTGACTGTTGTTTGAGTTTCAAAATTAAAGAGGTATTATCAGCAAATAATATTATATTGTAATTGTTCCCTATAAGATAAGGTAAGTCATTTATATAGACTAAGAACAGAAATGGGCCAAGAATCGGGCCCTAAGGAACGCCCATTTGATACTACTGATCCGGAGGATTCTTTACTATTGATAACGACTTTTTGAGTTCTGTTGTTAAAATATGAAGTAATAAATCTGAGCGCAATATTTTTGACACCGACATGTGGTTTCCTGATTAATATCTCATGATAAAAACAACCGTAAGCCTTGGAAAGATTACAAAAAATACCTGAGGCATCGTGTGAAGCCTCCTAGGCATTAAAAATAAATTTCATAAGCTAGACACCTGCGTCAGTTGTCGAGCGACCTATTGTGTAACTAAATTGATTTTATGGAGTAATTTATTTTTAGTAAAAATTGGTATTTATTAATAATTGGTAGTACAGAAATAGGTTCAAAATTAGGGGTCCAAAGTACTACCAGATTTAAATAAAGGTATTACTTTACTATGTTACATTAAATCAGGAAACACATCAGATTCGATACTAGTATTAAAAATAATAGCAAGATGAAGTGCAATTAAATCTATTAAGGACGCATTAATTGTAAAGATAATCCCCCATAAATCTATGGTTTTCTTTAAATGAAGAGTTTTGAAATATTTTACAATATCTTGTGGTAATTTAGTTTTTAAATCTAAATTCTTTTAAACAGGTATTAACGTTATGTTTGAGTAATGAATCGACGACAGTTGGAGAACAATTCAATGACTTTGTTGTCAAAACAGGAATATCAGTAAAATAATTTTCAAACACCGCTGCGACTTCTTGATTTCATTTAATCTAGTCAATTCATTATTAATTTTCATGATAATTCGTGTTACGACGTTTGTCTTTACCGAATTTGCTATATATTATACTCCACGTTATTTTATTTTTATTTAAATAATACTACCTTTTACAAATTTTATCGTGTATATTTAACTTTTTCAATACCCGACGTTTTGAGCACTTTACATACAGCACTCATGGTCGTGGGGGGGACTGAGATAATCAACGTCCATGTCATAGTTAACTGCGGTTACATAGATTAAAATTTAACTTTTGTTCCGATCTACACAGTATGAACTTACGGTATCTTGAAGTCTTGCAGTTTTATGCTTGGGTTGGGATTTAATTTTATTTATTATAGGATCCCAAGCAGATGGTAGCACCTAGCCATCTTCTATATTGAAATTAGTATCTTTTTTGATTTCAATAGCCTCGCGAATCATCCTTGGAAGGAATCGGTGTTCCTTGGCAAGGATTTGTGTCAAATCTGATGTAGTGACGGGGGCGATACTGTATATGTTCACGGATACCTTCTTTACCTTCAACTTTCTGAAACCTTCTTTACCGTCAACTTTATATCCCTTACCCGGCTTTGTACTTGTTAGGAATGATCGTGTTGGAAAAGGTGGAGGTGGTGTAGCAATCTTCTTCTAAATCTAGCAAACACGCATCAATTCCTTATAAAATTGTCTTAGCATCTCCCTCCTGCTATTCCGCTTCTTCTGAGTTTTTATTTGTGGAACTCGATGTCAAGGGCATCAGGATGCTTCTAGGGGTAGTGTATTGCCCCCCATCTACCGACTACTTCCTTACTTTAGATATGGCTCTTGTTGATATTTGTTCTGAGTATACTCACTGTATAATCGTGGGTGATTTCAATACTGATCTGTTGAAAAACTGCCCTCGTTCCAAAAGGTTTCTTTCAATTATTGAGTCGGTTAATCTTTCTATTCTCCCTTTAAAGGCTACTCATCATAATATCGGAACCGATGACTCATTGATTGATCTAATCCTTGCTGCTTCTCCTGAACATGTGATGATGCATGGACAGTTACCCGCTTTGGGTTTCTCACGCCACGACTTAATTTATGCATCGTATAAGATTAAACCTCCTAAATATTCCCCTACTGTAATGCATCTTCGCAGTTTTTCTAAAACAGACTTTGACAAGCTTAGGAATGACGCTCTTAATCTTGATCTAGCCTCTTTAATAGCAGCATCTACTGTTGACGATAAAGTCACTATCCTTAACCACAATATTCTTAGCCTTTATGATGATCATGCTCATGTTCACAAGGTTAGATTGAAGCGTTCCCCTGCCCCTTGGATGATAGAATGCATAAGGATGGCAATGGCTAGACAAAATCTTGCTTTTCTTCGTTTCAAGAGAGATCGAACTGAAGAAAATTGGATATCTTTTAAAGCAGCCAGGAATAGGTGTAATCAGATGGTACGTGCAGCTAAACGCCGATATTTCCATAACTGTATTAATAACT